TAAAGAAATATATAAAATATAAAGATGTTTTCTTTTTTGAGGTTGTAACACTCAATACTCCTTCTTCTTCTTCCCTAGAGACCCACTAGCTTGCCTCCGATAATATCCAATTGAGCGGTAATTCCCTTCGAAACGGTGCGCGCCAGTTCCTTGGGTTTCTGTAATGCAGACGATAAAAGTAAGAAAAAAATCTATTGTATATATTATTCAATACATCTATCAGTATATTCACATCAATCGTTCCTTAATATTGATATTGATATTTGCTGCAGTGGATTGTAGATAGTTAAGTCTGAATCTGATAACGTCAGAGTGAGAGGGCTTTAGACTGTGGAAGAAGAGGGCTGATAGGCGAGCTCTACCTTGGTGAGGAGTTCAAGGAAGAGAAGCGACTGGGGCAAAAAGAGGCGGCAGCAAAGGAAAACTGCTGCGCTAGAGACGTAAGACTAGACCTAGTCGGAGCACTTACATTTAAGAAGAAATCATTAGATTAGATGAACCGGGAACGAATAAATACTAAGAAACTCTGAGATAGAAGATCGAGCAAGGAGATACCATCATAAGTACACATATATTCAAGGAAAAAACAAGAGATTTTTTTATCGATTACAAATGATCGATAATTTTGCATGCATATATTTAGACCATCAAAATTTTACAGATAGGCCTAGAAGTAACTACGATCATAACAAGAATTATTATAAATATAATAAATAATCAAGCGCAACAGACGATCAAAGAACGAGAGCTTGCGAGGCTTGCAGTACATATAGCTTAGAAGCAATAATGCTGTTATAAATAGTAAAGAAAGTATGCCAAAGAGCTCGACGATATGGTCGTTCATATAAGTAAAAACCGGTGCTGGATTCAGTAGCACCTTGGGTGGTTTACATCCACGAGCAATGAGCTTGTTCAATTTCTTAAAGTGTTTCTCACACTTGAGTGGCACGCGGCGCAATATCTTGGCCTTGGGCTTTATTGGAGGATATTCGACTAGGCATTGCACTATCTTCCGGGCAATTTGGCGAGTGCCACTGGGCTTAGTGCGATGACTTTCCTTTTGACTGTGCATACGAATCCGCGGCATCACTTTCAACGGTGGATTGATATGTTCTAAAGACTGCACAAGTCGAGGAGTTAGTTGCGATCTCAAAGAGAGTCGGGCGTAACCGACTATACAATACTCGTTCACACTTCATAGCAAGAGCTTTACAGGTCTAAGCCAATTGGCAGTACACGAATCGTTAGCAGAGAAAGATCTAGATCTCAATGAACCAAGGGATTCACGTATCAGTGGATAAACGGACCGATCGTATCGGCGTATAGCCGCACTAATGGAACAATGGACCAACGGATCAATAGATGAATGAATAAACGGACAAATGGATCCCATGAATAATGCACCGACCCATTGATAAATAAGTCTATGGGCCATTAATTCATAGATACGTTAGCCTATGAGTCCGATGGTTCGTTGGATCGATTGATCCATCAATCCATCGATCCATTGGCCCATACTTATCAATGGGTCAGACCATCGGACGGATCTATGAATTAACGGATCCATGGATTCATGTATCAATGAGCCCACGGGCATCTACACAGAGCATCTTGGACGGACAGACAGTTCCAGCTGGGGCGGACAGCAAATAAGTTCTTTTTTCTCAGATTGTGAACGGGCTGAACCAATGTATATATTCGCTTACTTCCGAATCGCTAATATCACTAATTATTTCGCCATCCTCTGACGGATAGCCCAAGCGATTTGTCTTGTTCAATATATCCAATACTTTATAGTGCCTAGCGGTGCCTAGGGCCTGATAGTCGTCCATCTCAAAATCGTTGTCACTATCCTCAAACTGCACTTGTTTGGGCACATTACGATTCCATTTTGAATGTGGATTATTGACGGCTAGAGGCGAATTTCCTGCCTCGCTTCTTGAATAACGTTTCTTTTTTCCAGAATACATTTTCGATTATTTAATTTCAACTACTTATATTTTTTTTGTCGGAAAAATAAAATTTTATACTTTTTTTTTTGAAATAATGTGTTCAGCTGTAGAAATAACTTATGAGTGAGGACTGAGCTCTGATGCTGGCGACCAAATCAAGTCGGTCGAGTCAAGGCCTCCTTTGATTGAGAAAATTGTGTAAAAAAGGTAGTGGAGCAAAGACGACATTGATTGGAAAATTCGACAGAAAGTTGTGTGGAGCAAAGCCGACATTGATAGATAAATTCTGTACAAAATACTGTGGAGCAAAAGGCAACATTGCTTGAAAAATTCTGTAGGAAAGTTTACAATGCAAACATACAATATATATATAAGCAAAATGATCTAATTACGTGTCCTAGTTCATCTTAAGGCTTTGCCTAAGCCGCTTAGGCCTAGTTCAGGAAAGTGCAAGCCCTATGTAAGGTCAATGTTGAAGCTTTTCCATTTATGGAACTCAAATCATATACAAAACATAGATAACAATATTTGCATGTATGATTGAACATATCATGAGCCATAAATATGCTGAGCTTTTTTATAGAGCTATTAAATAATTTATAGCTGTGACTATTTGTTTAGGTTCGGCCTTCGGGCGGAACCTTAAACAAAACCAGAAGCGGGGAAGGCAACAGATAGAGAGAGAGAGAGAGAGAGAGACGAGCGGGGCTTGGGGCGCGGCAGCTCTTGTGCAATGCAACGTGTGAATCAAGTAACGCAAGCGCAGACAATTCACACACGAAAAGAGCTACAGATGCGGTGGTTGAGTGAGAGAGGGAGAGAGAGGTAAGGGCAAACTCACCTGTATGAAACTGTTGAGAAAATTGGAGAAGGCCTCATAGCCATTGACAATTGAGCGCGATATGTTGTCGAACTTGTCACCATTGTTGCCATACTTCTCATGCTCGTTGATGCTGTCCAAAATGGGCACAGGCTGCAATTAATAAAAGTGATCAGTGAACAGTAGTGATCAGTGATAAGTGATTAAATGTGATCAGCAGTGATTAGCAGTGATTAGCAGTGATCAGCAGTGATCCTCAGTGGTCAGTGATAAGCGGTGATTAGCAGTAATCAGGGATCTGTGATCAGCAGTGATCAGTAATCAGTGATCAGCAGTGATCCTCAGTGGCCAGTGATAAGCAGTGATTAGCAGTGGTCAGGAATAAATGATCAGTAATTAGTGATCAGAAGTAATCCTCAGTGGTAAGTAATTAGCAATGGTCAGTGATAGGCAGTGATCAAACGTGATCAGCAGAGGGCAAGGATGTGGGATCAGCAGTGATCAGTAATCAGTGAACACAAGTGGTCAGGAATATGTATGTAATCAGCACTGATTCTCAGTGGTCAGTGATAAGCAATGATATGCAGTGTGCAGTGATCAGTGATCAAAAGTGATCAACAGTGATTAGGGATATATGAACAGCAGTGATCCTCAGTGGTTAGTGATCAGCAGTGGTCAGGGATATATGATCAGTAATTAGTGATCAGAAGTAATCCGCAGTGGTAAGTGATTAGCAATGGTCAGTAATAGGTAGTGATCAAAAGTGATCAGCAGAGGTCAAGGATGTGTGTTTCAGCAGTGATCAGTAATCAGTGAAAGTCGTAAGGAATGTAATATGTAATCAGCACTGATTCTCAGTTTTCAATGATAGGCAATGATATGCAGTGCGCAGTGATCAGTGATCAAAAGTGATCAACAGTGATTAGGGATATATGAACAGCAGTGATCCTCAGTGGTTAGTGATCAGCAGTGATCACCAGCCATTAGCAGCTCTGATCAACAGTAGCAAAAGTGGTCAGCAGTGATCTGCGATCAGTGATCACTGGTGATCAGTAATCCGTGATCAGTCACTTACATGCGTGAGATCAGTCAGCTTCTGCTGTGTATTGTCGTAGGCGCTGAGCACCTTGGAGGGCAGAGCCTCGCGCTCCAGATTCACAGACTCCGCTGTCTTGGCAGGCTCGGGCAGCAGCGAGATCTGTTGATTGTTGTTCGTGAGTTCACTTAGCGTGTGTTCACTGTATAGAATACCTTGGCTATACGCACCTTGAAGCCCGCCTCGCTGGCGGCCGAGCTCTCTGAACTGTCGGCCGCATCTTCTGCAAACGCATCGAGTGCACCGAAATCTGCGGCCGAGACTTGTGCATCGATGGGCGTGGCACCGTCCGGGGTGGCAGGCGCCAGGGGCAGGCTCAGCGCCAGCTGCACGGCCAGCAGCAACAGCAGCGAAATCTTGAGCATTGCGTGAGAGATTATGAAACGCGGCGCTTACGAAATGAAAGTAAAAGCGCGAAAATAAAATCCGGAATCGCAGGCCAGGGCGCAGTGGGCGTAGTAGGCGGAGTTGGCAGTGTAAACAGAGTAGGCAGAGCTGCTTTTGCGTACGGTCCGAGCGTGACCAGCTCCAACTATCAACTGACTTGAAGCGTCTGCGCAACGATTTGATTTCTTTTTTCTTTGCATCGTATTCATGTTTTTCTTCATTTCATGATTTGCTTTAGCCTGAACGCTTGGACATTGGCAAACACACTCGCTGGCGCTGCTCCACTCGATGATACATATATATATATACATATGTATGTATGTGGATATATATACTTACATACATATATGTATTTGGTTGGTAGACGTGCAGCTCGACGTTTCGACAACCGCTTGGCTGGCGGTCATCTGCACTTCAAAGGGAAAAGGTGACACCTCATTAAAAATAAAAAAATATCATAAAACGGACGGACGAATGAGCCGACGGACGGACAGAGAGTTTAATTAAACAGCGGAAACTGAAACTGAAATTTAGTTAAAACAATAAACAAAACAGAGACAGAAAGTGCAATAGTAATAGCAATAGTAATAGTAATAATAATAGTAATAGTAATAGTAATAGTAATAGTAATAGTAATAGTAATAGTAATAGTAATAGTAATAGTAATAGTAATAGTAATAGTAATAGTAATAGTAATAGTAATAGTAATAGTAATAGTAATAGTAATAGTAATAGTAATAGTAATAGTAATAGTAATAGTAATAGTAATAGTAATAGTAATAGTAATAGTAATAGTAATAGTAATAGTAATAGTAATAGTAATAGTAATAGTAATAGTAATAGTAATAGTAATAGTAATAGTAATAGTAATAGTAATAGTAATAGTAATA